AAAGAGACCACCAGTTCCACCAGTTCCAAAGCCAGTTCCGGTGTTGGCTGTGTTGCCAAAGCCGCCAGAAGTCGCGGTAGCCCCGCCGAATAAGCTGGGCTGTGACGTTCCCGTTGAAGTGGCTCCTCCTCCAAATAGAGAGGTCGCCGGTTTATTGGACCCAAACAAGGGGTTGCTAGAGGTGGAGCCAAATCCACCAGTGGTTTGGGTCTGTGTCTGGCCGAAGGCGGGGGCGCTGGTGCCACCGAAAGGGGAAGAAGTGCTTCCAAACCCAGTCGACTGCTGCTGTTGACCAAAACCGCTTCCGCCGAATGCTGATGTACCAAAGGCACCGGCCTGTCCGCTCCCATTCCCGAATCTTCGGCCTTGCTGGTAGTCACCCAAACGTAGCTCCTCAAATGAGTATTTGTTGTATGGTTGCATGAAGGAAATACTTTGATAATGGTTGGTCACACTCGTGTTACCATCCTTTTCGGTGAAAGGGCTAAATGGCGTGCTACCAGTACCATCTGAGGGAGGAACGGCCTGCTGGAACGCAGTTCCACTTCCACTACCAAAACCAGCAGTGCCGCTTCCAAAGCCGCCACTTGCGCCAAAGCCACCTGTTGTACCTGTTGAACTGCCAAAGCCGGTGCCAGTGCCAGTAGCAGTGCCAGTGGCAGTCTTGTTGCCAAAGAGGCCTCCGCCGGTGGTGTTATTGGAGCTTCCGAAGCCTCCAGTGTTTCCGGTTGAACCGAAACCACCAAAACCACCACCAGGGGTAGTAGCTGTTGCTGTTGTACCTCCCGCACCGCCTCCAAAGAGACTTCCACCGGTTGAAGTCCCAGTCCCAAAGCCGCCAGTCCGGTTTTGGCTACCAAAAAGTGAGTTTGACTGGTTCTGCGTGCCCGTTCCAAATCCTAAGTAAATAAAAAAACGTCAGTTGCACTGCCGGGGCTTGCGCTAAAAACAACATATGAAAAGATTCATTGGAATATATATGAAAGAAAGCTCGTCCTTGGACACAGATCCCCGATGGCCAGAGAGGAGATTTTGTTCACTTGTTCGTTTCCCTCACTACATCACAGGTACCGCACTAACGCGCATTCACCAGCAAGTCGTGGTGATGTTGGATGCCAAGTTTCCATGAATGGCAAAAGGCCAGAGTTCCGTTCACGAGGCGAGCAGGGAAGAGAAAGGATCGCCAAGCTCATGAAGACATCGTCATTGGACACGTACCTCCTCCGGAACCAAAGCTACTGGAAGTATTCCCAAACAGGCCACCACCTGATGTGCTACCGCCACCAAATGGGGACGATGTAGATCCAAAGCCTAGATGACGGGGGAAGATGCTGTCAGAGACTGTAATCAAGCTGCGATCCCTTCTCTTGCGGCACCAACTGTGTTGCCCAGAGCCGAAAACATCCGCGGAGTGTTGGTATGTCGAGAGTCAAGTGGAACCATCGCGGGTCGACGTCAGGAGCACCAGTACGGACCGATTGTAGAACCAGTGGAAGTCCCAAGAAGGTTGAAAGGTAAAAAGTCACAGGTCCAAGGCAGAAAAAAAAGCAGCGACGCGATGGTTTGTAAACCTACCTCCTCCAGAACTCGTCCCACCGAAGCCAGAGCCAGCTCCAAATCCGGAGCTCTGGTTGTTTTGACCAAATCCTCCGAATCCGAAAGACATGATGTTTGGTATGGGTTGATGCTTATAGGTTCATTCGTTCGAAGTTGTCCGGAGACTAAAAACTTGTCAAGATTTGTGCGAAAGGTGATTAACAAGCTTGTATCAACAAATAACAGCAGGCGATATGCTCAGTTACGGTGCGCTTTCACAAAGTAGACACAAACGTGTGTTGCTCAGAGAAGCAGCTCGACGCGCTGAAAGAGAGAAAGCAAAGAAAATCTGTTTTGATTTCTCGAACAACAAAAAGGACCCACACCGGCTTAAGACGGGAATTCACCGTCTCAGGTAGGATGTGCACAAGTCCTCGATTGCAAATATCGAAATCAAGAGAAAGGAAGATGGAGGGGTGGGAGGAAAGAAGAGAGGACAAACGCGACGGTGAAGGGAAAAGAGCTGCGAAGACAGGATGGGCGAGGGAGAAGGTAGTCGTAAAGTTACCGTTGCCTCCTTCGCTTACGGCAGCAGGACCTCGGAATCGTCACTAATACCGTCTGTTCACCAGTCAACTTGAGGCTAACGCTGGTAACGTTGGTATGGTATTGTCATTTATATTACACGGTCACGTGTGGCTGATGTCTGCACCGAGCTGGCCTTGCCTTTTTCCTTAACCTGAAAAATCCAGCGTAAATAATGTCACCGCATTCAGTTAATGTACTCATATTAGTACATATACTAACGGAGGGTGCGACCTACAGTTAGTGTTTTATTTGAAAATATCAGGGCGCCTATGCTCATGTTATCAATCAAAAAGCATAGAAGGCACATATTTCCTGCTAATAGTTGAATCAAGCCTGGTCTCCCAAGTCTACATTGCACCTATCCTAGGAGTAATACTACAACTTCAGTAATCTGCCGTAGCTGCCGTCAACGCATCCTGGATTCTCGCGGTCAGATCCTCCTCTTTCTCTAGCCCAACACTGATTCGGACCATATGTCTGTCTATTCCACCCTCGGATTCTGCCCAGTCCTGCTCCCGAAAGTGTGCCAGCAGGCTGTATGGAATCGCCAGAGAGAAGTTGGTCCCGACGCTAGGTCCTTTACAAATGTCCAGCACGTCATAGAAACGAATAGCAGTCTCGGGTTTGTGGAAAACAATGCTAAGCAAATACCCGTAGCCACCATCCTTACGCCGCACCTGATCGTAGAATTGCCGTGAGGGTACTAAGCTAGGATAGTACAACTGGGCCACCGAAGAATGTTTCGCGAGTAAATTGGCGATGGTCAGGGCACTGGCACTGCATTGCTTGACTCGCTCTTCAAAGTCGGACGCATTCTGGGCCGTAATCATGGCTTCGAGAGGGAAATATGTATCCTCGTAAAGAGCTGTGAGAGCTGAGTGAATCGTGGTATAGTGGGACGACTGGGGATTCACAACGACGCTGCAATACAGCTTCGTTAGAAAATGGCTCGGATCGTCTCAGCAGTACAGGACGCTCACCTTCCCCCCATCACATTACACATGCCGCTAAAGATCTTCGTCAAGCTGGTCATAATCACATCGACGTAGGGTAAAACATCGATGTTGACGAAAGTCCCGAGCGTGTCATCGACCGCTACAATGAAGTCATACTGTGCAGCCAGGGCATGAATTCGCGGCAGATCAGGGGTCCGCAGTTGTGGATTGGAGGGAACCTCGCAAAACAAAACTTGGATGCGACGACCGGCAGCAAGGGAGGATTCCAACTCATCCAGTTCATGTTTACTTCCAGCACTGAGCAGAGTAGATCGTTTGTAATCACTCTCTTTGACACAGAGCGGAGTTTCGGCGTATGGCCATCTAAAACTATCATCAGCTCTGGGACCATCGAAGAAGAGAACCTGTTTGACATACCCGTAGATCACCGCCTCAGAGAGTTCTGCAGAGTGGGGTACCAAGGCCCTGGCCACTGCCGCAATGGCACACATTCCCTTAGGGTAGAGAAAGACGTCGTGGCTGCTGACACGACAATAGCCCGGCTGGTCGGAACTGACCAAACGTGCAATCAAGCTCCGGATAGATTCCTTTTCGGCCGCAGCCGAGTTGACCCATTGCACATCCCACGTGGAATGATCCCTGCAGGGGGCCGAAGTTTCAAAGACAGTGTCCTTTGCGTAAGAATCCATCGAGGGAAGCGCTCTGAGGCAATGCTCTGCATGGCGACCGGCGATTCCGTCCCCAAACACTTTCCAGAAATGCATGGCGGTGGAGATGCATGCCTGTGGAAACAGGACGACAAAGAAAGTGGCCCATCGCAGGACTTCCTCGTCTGCTGGTTGGTGTGGTTGAAATTTGGCGGTGTGACATGTTTCGTTGGGATGTTCAGCTGATAGTCGGGCTGTACACCTGGCGGCGGCATCGGCCGAGGGAAAGATCAGACAGCTCAAATCCTTGGGGGTGCGCAGTCGAGCACATACGGCATCCATCAATTTGCGTACGGATGGATGCATGCCAAACCTATCCCGATTGAGCCTAGAATGCAAGGTATCAGGAACGCGTAGCTAACCGTGGATAGCAGGTATGCATTGAGTCCAACAGCCATTGCTCTCGACGGCCCCAAGCAGCGACCGACTCCCATGTCGGCAGAGACACGCTTACAGACTATTGTTCTCCCTTGTCAGTTCTGCCCATGAGAGCATTGAACCAATATCGAGTTTGCACTTACATGCTTCTCGTTGGGTGGGTTGGGCTCTCCTACTGGGAGCATGTGCGGCGAGATAGACCTCATCATTTTTGAAATAGGACAAATCCGATGATAGTAAGGAGTTGAAAAGAATTTAGATTCAAAGAAATCATCCTAGTGCTAGGGCTGGATGTCCGTCCATTTATAAGGACAGGTTCATGCAGATCGTGCAAAAAGAACAAAAATATGACGAGAGAATATCTTGTACGGAGTAGCGGTCACCTTATTAGAAATTGAAGACAAGTCAGATGCAACATCCATTCGCTCACCCAGCAAGTGCTTGTCACCCTCGTGCATTCATGATGCCCACCAGCTTAGTCCAATTTCAAGTTGACAAATGGAATGGCCGGGTGTTATTGGCGGGGACAAGATCTGAGCAGAATGCTTGACCTCCACTGGCCCACTGCGTCTTCAGCTGCAAGGCTGAGAAACAAAAAACCGACCTTACCTCAGTACTAGTAGTTAGCACTAGAAGTGGTTTCCCCCTTTTATTTTTGGGTTTCTTGTTTATTTGTTGGTCTTTTTTTCTTCTTTTTTCTTTCTTTCTTTTTTTTTTTAAAAAAAAAAAAAAAAAAAAATTAATATTGTCAGCCATCAATCAGGTACTAGTGGGGAAGCTACTTAGTAGTAATGAGCATGAAAAGTAACTACGTGCGTTTCGTTCGGAAACATACTATTATAAGTAGAAATAGGTTCTATTCTTTAAGCAGAATAAAAGAAAAAGGAGGATATATATATTGAGAAATTGGAACCTGATACACATATCAAACAGAATAATATCGCTTCTCCAAGTGACAGAACACGGGAATCACATAGTAAAGCCAGAGCGAAATACGCGCACATGAGAATAGTTCTGCCTTTCACAAGCACTGCACCAGTTCAGCGCAAAGGAATTAAGAACATCATGTCATACTAATCGCTGTTTTTAATTTTTTTTTTTTTTTTTTTTTTTGGTATTTCTTTTCATAAGTCATGTCGTCGTCCATCTATTTGCCCCGGGCAGTGTGAACGGTTTCAATGATCCTGTCGACCACCGAAGGATCAGACAGGGTAGAAGTATCACCCAAACTGTCCTCCTCGCCGCTCAGGATCTTCCGCAGGATACGCCGCATGATCTTACCGCTGCGAGTCTTGGGGAGGTCATCAACGACAAAGACGGCCTTGGGAGCGGCGAATGGCCCAATCGACTTGCGAACCTGCATAACAAGGTCTTTACGGACCTGCTCATTCGTCTCATTGCCCTCCTTCAGAGCCACAAATGCATTGACCGCTTGGCCAGTGAGTTCGTCAGCAATACCGACCACGGCGGCTTCAGCAACCATATCTGTCATGGAATGTCAGCGTCGAGCGTCTCTGGCTTCGTCTCCTTTCTACTACTTACGGTGTTCAAGCAGAGCAGCTTCAATCTCAGCAGTGGACAGCCGGTGACCGGATACGTTGACCACGTCGTCAACACGGCCGCGGATCCAGTAGTATCCATCGTGATCACGACCGGCGCCATCTCCAGTGAACTACCACCAGTTAGCCACAATCTTTCAGAATGACTCGAGTATTTCCTTACGTAGTAGCCCTTGTAGACATTGAGATAGGTATCCATGTAACGTTTGTGAGCACCCCACACCGTGCGGGCCATGCTAGGCCAGGGCTGCTTGAAGGCAAGCACACCTTCCACGTCATTGCCCGAGATCTCCTCTCCGGAGACAGGGTCAATGATGGCAGGCTCAATACCGAAGAAGGGCAACGAGGCACTACCGGGTTTCGTAGGGGTAATTCCACCCAAAGGTGTGATGACGTTCGAACCAGTTTCGGTCTGCCAGTAAGTCTAATAAGAGCAAAAAATAGTCAGTACTGCGCCCTAGAAAGAGAGTCAAGACAATAAAACAATCGGATTCCATACGTCGCAAATGTGTGCCTCTTCCTTTCCGACTTTCTCGAAGTACCATTTCCAAACCTCTGCAGCAATAGGCTCACCGACGGAGCCCAGGACACGCAGATGAGCCATCTTGTGGTGAATGTGCTCGTCTCCAGCGCGCTTCAACAACCGCAGTGCTGTAGGGGCGACGTAGAACTGAGTAACCTGGTGCTTCTCAATGACATCCCAGTAGCGAGAAAAGTTGGGGTACGCTGGGGTACTCTCAAAGACGACAGTGGAACATCCCAGGAGCAAAGGAGCATACACAACATAGGTATGACCAGTGATCCAACCGACGTCACCACCGCAGAAAAAGCGATCGTCGTCGTGGATATCAAAGACGTACTTTCCGGTCATCGCAGCACCCAGGAGATATCCAGCGGTGGTGTGCATAACACCCTTGGGCTTTCCAGTCGAACCAGAGGTATACAGCAGGAACAGAGGGTCTTCGGAGCTCATGGACTCGGGAGGGAAGTAATTGGGGTACTTCTCTACCTCCTCGTGCCACCAGACATCACGACCTTGGGTCCAGGGGACCTCAGTACCGGTGCGCTTGTAGACCAGCACGCTTGTAACGTCAGGGCACTGCTTCAAAGCCTCGTCAACAATACGCTTGGTGCCAATCACCTTGCCGCCTCGCTTGCCCTCATCGGTGGTAATGACCACTTTAGATCCGGCATCGATAACACGGTCACGGAGCGAGTCTGACGAGAATCCTGCAAACACCACGGAGTGGATGGCACCAATACGGGAACAGGCCAGGAAGGCCACAATAGCCTCCGGAATCATAGGAAGATAGATGGCCACAGTATCACCCTTCCTAACACCTTGCTGTTTAAGCACCCAGGCGACTCGAGATACTTCACGAAGCAGCTCTCCATAGGTAATATTACGGCCCTCGTTTGGCTCATCAGCCTCGTAGATGATCGCAACCTTGTCGGGGTTCTTGAGTGCATGACGGTCCACGCAGTTGAAGGCCGCGTTTAAGCGACCTTCCACAAACCAGGCACTGTCACCGTTCTCCAGAGAGCCAGTGTGGGTAGTTTCGAAGTCTTTGTCGAAGGAAAGGAGTTCACGAGCCATGCGGGCCCAGAAGGTCTGAGGGCTGCGAATTGATTCGTCATAGAGCTTCTTATATTCATCCAGGTCTTTCAAGTGAGTGCCAGTCGGGTGCTTCTCATAGAAAGCCTTAGGGACATGGAAAGTATCGACCTCGTGGGCTTCCAGCACCTGAAATGATGCGATTAGCCAGCCGTCAGACTGTATATTATCTGGGGGGGATTGTTTTTTTTTTTTTTTTTTTTTCATACCACAGAGGGCTTAGGGGGCATCACGTTGCCGTCGGCCATGATTCGTTGGCGCGAAAGGAGAGATGCTTGAGCTAGACGAGAAACAACGAGACGGTGAGTCTTAGAGAGGGGAGGAAATATAAAAAAAGGTAAAGAGAGAAGACAGCGTTTCTAGTTCCGGAGGGGGAAGAGGTCAGCATGAGCGTGACAATCAGTATGAAGTGGCGGCGGCAAGGACTATTTGAACTCACTGTCCAAAACGAATTAATTATGGTTGTATCTGATCGGGATGGTTAGAGGGGTGGGTATAATACGAAGAACCCCTCCAAGGTAAGGTAGTAGTGTAGAGGAAGAGGGAAGGAGCAGATTGAAAACGGAAAAGAAGAAAGGATGAAAAGAGAAAGGGCTTATGGGGACTTTGTCTCAGGCCGGGGGAGGGAGAGAAGCGTTATTTATTGAATCCAACACACAAACTAAATAAATGGACCAACAGACAATGTTGAGGTCCCGCAGTCCGGCAGTCCGGTGGAGGTTTCTCGGCCACCTTATATCTCTAGTCCACCAACAACCATTCATCCTTCCGCGCGACCGGTGCTCTGGCTTTACCGGCAGTTCAATTGTTTACTATCTTTCAGAGGGCGTAGGGAAAATCATGAGCCTTAGTATTCCTCTTGGTTTTCCTCGTTCCCCGCCTTATGGAATACAGTGACAGTGTGCACTGTACGCTCACGTTCATATACATCCACCTGTTATAGGTACCTTTTTCTACTGAATCTAGATAAAATAAGAAGAAATACGTTTATGGAAGGAAGGTTGAATTCCATTACAGTCCTTTTTCTCTAGCTATACTAATTAAGACTGAAACCTATGGGAATTGTTATTATTATTATTTTGAACCCTGCACTTTTTAATATTAGAGTGGTGGTGGTGGTGGTGTTTTTTTTTCTCTCTCCCCCTCCAATAACAGCATCCACCTTTTACCTACTAGTACTACTACTCCAGAGTACGTACTAGGTACCGTAGGTACCAAAGTACAGTACAGTCTAAAACCTACCACTCGCATTGGTCCGAACGCGGCAAGTCGAAAATGGTTAGACTCGGCCATGCGGGGCTCGCAGAGGGCCTGACAGCTTCTCTTTCCGTTGCTCCGGGGAAAGGAATCTCAAGGATCCGTCAGCATTTTATCGAAAATGGTTCATCCTTGGGTATTCAGAAGTTAAGGGTCATGAGGGGAGCAGATCAATATCATCCGTTCATTACTACTCCGTATGGAGTACTAACTGCTTTATTACTGAAACCGCTCTCCGTTGTGACTTCCCTTGATTACCTTTTTTTTTTTTTTTGGTAGTACTTACATTCAGTGCCCTGGGTCCATGCTCTCATCACCATGGGGCCAGACCAGTGATTAATGAATCTAGAGTTGTTCAAGTGTTACCCAGGGAGTCAGTGTGCGATGCAGCCCCAGCGGATCGGATTTTCCACATGTTTGGTTATTGGTTGGGACAGTACGGATTATCACAAGAGCAGGTGCCGAGCCATCGAAGTGGAGGGGTAATCTCGTAACTTCTCATCATCTGCGGGGTGGAAACTTTAAGGCGCACTGTGTATGTATTTACCTACTAGTACTACTAACAGACGGACAGGAGAATAATCAAACAAGAACACTGCACCAATGATTCTATTGAAAACGTGACAATTCAATGCCGTTTGCGGAAACTACTCATAGTATCATGGATGGATTATGGATAGATCCCGGGTAGTACCTCATTCGGTAGGGAATATCTCGACCTATGTGCCTAGATCTGTCGTGGGTGAGATTAAGATTGATAATAATACATGGTAATAAGTTGAAACAAGGGACAGTATTGGGCGGTCATAGCAAGGGTCGAAAATTAAGAGTCCGACCATGACCGTCACTTACCGAAGGGAGTAAAAGCACCAGCTGACGACAGCCCAACTTTTACCACAACTGACAGGTGAAAATTATCTCATCCCGCCTAGACAAGGTTATATTGGTTACCTCATGCATACCAAAGGTATACAGTATTATGCTCATCGCTCAGAGTTTATTGAGGTAGATAATGACATCTTTGTCGGACAACTTGTCCCCGTTCCATTGGGCATCGTCCTAACTTGCCTAAGAGGGTAAATCACGGTTCTTCTCTCTTTTCTGATCATCACGGAATAGATCCCAAGCTTCAGACTAAATAGAAAAATGTGACCGAAATACTTCTCCACGACTGTGGGGAGATTTTTGTGGGTAGGCCATGTTGCTAATGAGAAGAAAACTGTGGTCCTTACGGCCACCTATCAAGATCATCATAATGAAGGGAGGGGCAATGTGGAGAGAGGGTCGGCAACGCGAACATCAGAGAGTCTACCACCTCCGGAGTACGGAGTACATACTCCATAGAATGATCAACGCTCGGCTCCCCTGCCTGGGTTTCCAGGCACTGAATCGCCTGTACCGAGACGGCTACACGGAAGCCCGGACATCTCTGTTAACCGTGACGAACACCGAGGTTATGGTTGCTCGCCTCATAAACATGTTTATAAGGTTATCTTCCCTTCATCCTGTTCCTGTTCCGACTGCGTACTTTGCTCTTCCACATCCACACTACATCGGGAAAACGGATAATCACCTGTTCTGCGCCGCCTCAGGCACGCCTCCTACTAGGTACTGATTTAGTGGTGGTTAGCGGCTACTGAGGATCATCTAACTCGTCAAAACTCACACCAGCTTATTTCTTAGTTGACTCCGGTACAGACTTTCGAACCCACTCCCTCCTTACCACTTGCGCTAGCCTCTAGGTACGTACTCTTCGTTCCTCCGTCTGGGTTCAAATAGAGGCCTCCCCCTCCTTGCTCATACTACGTGGGTACTACCTACTACGTCGGACCTACCATCCATTGTCACAGCTTAAGGTACGGAGCTCACTCCGGAGGCTACATTGGTCGTCGCAATCCACAGTAACTGCAACTTTAGTGTAACATAGTGCAGTCTCGTCAAATCTCGACTGACTGGACTTGCTTAAAACAGCAAGGTTCGGTTGACTTCTTGTGCCGCACCCGGTGGGCCTGATTATCATTCCACCGCTAGTCTACTCCGTAGTGCGCGAACCACTTTGAGTGTGGGCTTGGTTTTACTTGACGGCTTATCTGCGAACCAATGATCACAACTTATTAGGATGGACATACCGGTAGCCCTGTTCTTCCCAGTCTCGATTTCACACTAATAGATGGCGCGTTTGATACCCTTGTTGGGATTCTAGCGTTGCTTAGTTACAGTCGCCTCGGAACATCCGGGCTCTGAACATCAGTCTCTGTGGCCTGTCTTGATATTGGAGCAACATGCCGCTACGCCAGTAGTCCATACTCCGGAGTACCCATATTATCAGTTATTTACGACACGAATTGGGATACTATCTGGAGTCAGGTGGCGGAGAGACCTTTGTTACAATACATACTATATGTGAACCTTATTATAGTACCCTATAACCCTTCCTATTACAAGATTACAGAAAATGATGATTCTAGACACACGGCGAAACAGGCATTATCTATGTTAAGGTACGTATACGTCACCCCGACGCCAGCTTGAGGACTACTGTCGATCACCAACCCGGACAATCCACCATGGTACGGAGTATAACGGCACCTATCCTGTCACAATTCCGTATTTTATCTATAGTATACAGTCTGCCGGTAACAAAGGGTGGATAAGTAAAGGCGTCAACTGGTTTAGGCATATCCGCAATTGATATATCTGTCGCCAGTACGGAGTATCTAGATTTAGATATGAAGTGACACCCAGCTGCTGTACTTCCTGCTGCAGTTTGTGCTACCTTAAATTATATATAACAGACAGGGGAAGACTATGCGGGGCCGTTTTTTGTATAACTTGATCTTGCTGGTTCCGCAAGATGTTGACAGATAATTCTAGGATGACCTGGCAATGGCGACGCCTTGGCTGGAGGGAGATCAGGAGTCTGTTTTGTAAATAATCAGTCATATACAACGGAATGTAATAAATAGAAGTGAGAGTGAAGTATATTGTACGGTGGTGCCAATAATGACAAGTAAGTGATTAACACATTCAAACTATAAGACAGGAGGTCATAGCTTCAGTTGCCGTTGCTTTTCATATGAATACCATCACAGCTTACAATGCAAGATCCGAAGAGAAAAGAACAAAATAACAGTTGTAACGCGCATAACGACCAACAACATCAATCATGCTTAATAGGCCGTCCACTCACGGCTCCACCAAGCGCCCATCCCCAGTAAGAACACAACAAGGCTACCGTCGCGGACTATGTCCTGGAAGAGTTGAAGCCAGAGCATTATCCCGGCAGCCGTCCCAGTCCGGCCCTTGCTCATTAATCTCGCGCCAGTCAACACAACTTCCCCCGTTGTAAAGTAAAGGAATGGGTTCTGTGCAGTGGCAGGGGGTGGTGGCTGGCTACCGTAGGTAGAAACTGACGTTCCAATGAGCATGAGCAAGTAAATCCCGATAGCCACCGCGAACAGTACGTGCAGAACTTTCCATGTCCGGACCTCCTTCTTCTCCTCATCAGTCGGTTTGTGAGTTGCAGCTCCAAGAAGATCCGCGACAAATGGAGGGAGTCCAAGGGCAGATATGAGATCGGCTGGTGATGGACCGCCAGCAGCTCCACCAGGAGCTCCACCAGGAGCCTGATCTTGCCCATTCATTCCTGCCATTAAGGTATTGAGCATTTGCATGGTGGGATCCTCTTCCTGAGGGCCCTGCTCAGATGATGATGGTCCACCTTGGCGGAGAAGGGCGCGGAATAACTCCTGTTGTGCTTGTAGGTTTTCGGGAGACTGGGGTTCGGGGTTCGACGTTGGTTGGGCTGGCGCTGATGCTGGTGCCGGTGCTGGTTGCGATTGAGGCTTTTCTGTCTCCGGTGTGGAAGAAATCTGCGCAGGGGGCTGGGGAGATGGCGATGTCTCTTCACGCACTGCAGAATTGAAGTTAGCTTCGCTCATCGACCTCAAAGACCGGCGAGGTGCGTGTAAAAGACAAAAGAAGGGGAGTCCGTACTACTTGTGGGTGTGCGTCCGCTGAGACTAGTAATCTTATCCAAACGCGCTGCACCACCCTCTTTGATTTTAGCTTCACGACGCTCGCGTCGGAGACGAGCTGCTCGCTGAGCTGGCGACTCTTCTGCTGAAGACATTCTCGGGGAATTTGTGAATTGACTGTTTTGATCGACTTCGAGTAGGATTCGGTGCGTACTATAAAGTTCAATTACTGTATTGATTGGTATGTAGTATGTGCACGATGCGCTAGTACCAGCTAGTGAGTTGGCACAGCCTTATAGATAACGACCTGTTGAGTAGGATGTTGTTGGTCCTTCGGCCACTTGAAAGTGATTGATGTCAGGTAATCTAAGTCTTGGCGCTTGTTGAGCGATTCCTTTTCTTATTCGCTATGCGTGAAACTGTGGGGCAGTTTGGATTAATAAGGACGAAGATATGCTTCTAACCTGTTTTGGAATATACTGGCAGTTACGGAGTACTAGGTAAGTATATGGAGAAGCGGTTTCCTGGCTAGGGCATTGATTCAATTGGTGACACGCGATGAAGCGCTGAGAAGGGTTCGGCTTCCTTCGTATGAACCATCGCCTAGTGCTAAGGTAATTCTACAGCTGTCGACAGTCCAATATTGGATTCATAGATAGCTTTTAACACAATATATAACCCTGTGAGATCCATACAAACAGAGAAGCTTTACGGCAATATCCTTGTATCTATAACACTATTGTAACGAACAAAGTCTTATTTAGTATACCCGTCTATGTCTCGATATATTATATACATTGCTCGGGAATTTGTTTACTAATTGTATAGTACCATTGTGTCGACCATTTCAGGAATGTACTCAGTAAAATTACGTACACGCAATCTTATAAGTTTGAATGGCTGGTCTTCCACCCACAATGAAAATATAAATATAAACAGTAGCAGTGTGACATCATCACTCAAGGATCGTCCCGTGCTATCGACAGCCTTGCGACCAGTCGGGACGATGCCATTTCACAGAGTAATTACTGGAAGAAACCGAGCCACAACCGTTCAATCTGAAGTGGCCTGGACACATTCATGATGAGTCGTCTCATATTATTTCAATACAGAGAAAGAAAAGCTTACTGGAACGAGGATACTAACAGCTATTGACGATATCAGCCAACTTCAATGGGCCAATTCATCATGTATGCCAAGACCATCTCGGCCTTGATGAGAGACGGTCTTAATCAGTGACATCCACATGGTATCCGGAATTCTAAAGCAAAGTTAGTATTAGTCCTGTGTATATCTTGGTGCCTTCAGTCTATTTCTAACTTCTAGTGCGACTCTTATTTCTTGTTAGTAGACCGTCCGTACACCTTCTTAACTCCACCGGACATTGGCTGACGTTTGGGGGTTCCTCCACAATGACGTAGTTCTTCCTACGGTAGGGCTGGACGATGCCATTACTTCACCAGAGCTGCTGTTCCTCTCACGCAAGACACGGACTAGAACCCACTCATTGCTTTCAAATACCCCTTTCATCTTCAATTCCGTTTAACTCAATTCCTTCTGCCCCCCTTGATCTCCGCCCAACACAGGACTCAGAGCGTCCAAATTCTAGCATGAGAGCTCGGGCCGCTGTTTGACTTGCATGGTTTCTCAGTTTCCTCCTTTTTTCATCTATCCATAGCTTCTATTGAGAGACACCCTTGTTAAGCTTATCTTCAGCATGGGACCCCATACTACCGGGGTTGATTCTCCCAAACACCACCGGGTAGGAGAACATTATGGTACACACAACCCGGTTCCCACTATCCAAAAGTTCCTAGAGCACTTGGAAAAAGACAAGCAGGACCGTAAGGCCCATGAGGAGGTTGTCACCGCGAGGGAAAAGGAGGAAGAGGCCCGCGGAGAGGCGAAACCTCATAAGCCGCGGAAGAGACCTGGCAAAGGTAAAACCCGTATGGTTACAGATCCGACAACTGGTCGCGAGATAGAGGTTGAAGACCAGGATGCGGATTCGATGGAAGTTGTGAAGAATCCTAAGGTATGTATTCCATGATACTATTTCCTTACTCGTTTGGTAACAGTTTCAATTGTTAATCTGGCTGTAGTTGGTAGTCCCCAATGCCAATCTTGGAAAGCCAACGGTTAGTATCCCAACACGAATTAGCTCTCTTATGGCTAGCCCAAACTGACAGTTCATGCAAAAAAAAATGAAGGATGTCAGGACATCCCCAAGCCAGAGCCTCAAGGATTACAAAGAGAATCAGGATATAACAGCACCTCCGGACCCCATCGCAGAGGGTACTACTTCCGACGTCCCCCTCCACGGAGAAATCACGAATGTTCTCTTTCATCCAACCCCGTCCATTTCCTACAAGCCTATGTATGACCAACTAGAGAAAAGGGGGACTGGGGTCTGCATAGGGATCGTATTTGGAACCCTCTTTGTGGGCCGGATGTTTGGTGGCTCACTTTGGGCTCTCCTCCCCTTGGCTGCCTGCATTGCAGGTGGTGTGTGGCTGTGGGTACAAGAAGTTATTCGGAGTGGCCGAGAGATGGAATGGAGCAGCGAGCAACTGCGAGGGCAAATGGTAGGTCGAATTTCTGTCTTCGTCTGATCTTACAATTACTGATATCTCATCCTCTAGGCTATTGCTAATCTCCTGCCTGAATCTGTTGAGTGGATGAATTCATTTCTTGGAGTCATCTGGGGCCTGATTAACCCGGACATGCTGTCGCCTATTGCCGATACAATCGAGGACATTATGCAGGCGTCCGCTCCTAGCGTGGTTGAGAACGTTCGTATTGCCGAAATTGACCAAGGGAACAATCCTTTGCGGATACTAAGTCTGCGAGCTCTTCCAGACGAACATGTACAGCACATTAAGGACAATGTCCGTGAAGAAAATCTCAAGAATAAAGACCCTCAAGAAGCCGCCGCCATGGAGGAGGGTGGCAGTTATTATAATATAGAAGCTTCCTTTGCTTACCACGCAAAGCCGACCGATCAAACCGCTTCCTCCAAAGCACGTAATATGCATATGCAGTTGGTCTTTTATCTGGGCATCAGAGGCCTTTTCGGAGTTCCTTTCCCGGTTTTTGTGGAGTTGATTGAGATGGTTGGCACTGTCCGAATCAGATTTCAGTTGATGCCCGAAGCACCCTTTATGAAGGACATGACATTCAGTCTTGTGGGAATCCCTCACATCAGAGCCGGATGTATGCCGATGTTCAAAGCTGGCGTCAATATCTTGAACCTCCCTCTCATCTCGAATTTCGTCAACTATGCCATTGGTACGGCATGTGGTCTCTTTGCGGCTCCCAAATCGATGACAATGGACCTCAGTATGATTCTCAAAGGCGACGATATCATCAAGGAGACTCAAGCATTGGGTATCATGTGGATTCGTATTCACCGTGCAACTGGGCTAAGCAAGCAAGATAGACGTGGCAGCTATGGTGGTGGTAGCGATCCATACATAAATCTTTCTTTCTCGAAGTACGGCAAGCCTATGTATTGCACAAGAGTGATTACAGACGACTTGAATCCAGTTTGGGAAGAAACTGCAGCACTACTTGTGAATCCGGAACTTATCAGCGCCAACGAGAATCTAAGTGTTGAACTATGGGATTCAGATCGCAACACGGCAGATGACATCGTTGGTAAGGTTGAGTTGCCGATCCGTGAGATGATCCAGCATCCAGCGCGGATGTATCCCCAAGTATCTAAGCTGCAAGGTCTCAACGAGGGGAGCGAGATGCCCGGTGAGCTACACTGGGAAGTCGGCTTCTTCGGAAAACCGAAACTGAGGCCAGAGCTAAGGACGGACGGCAAAAAGAAAGACCTACCTGAGAATCTCCGGGACAACCCTCAATTCCAAGATGATAAGGGAGTCATCACCAATGAAGAGGAGGATGCCATCACTCACACGCCGCCGGACCCGCTCTGGCCCAGTGGCATTCTTAGCATTGTGGTACATCAAATTGTGAACCTGCAACTTGCAAATATCAAGGGAAGCCGGTATCGAAAAGGAAGAGAATATGAACCAGCGAAGCCATATGGAGAAAATACGGAAGAACAAGGAGGGGACCTGCCAACCAGCTATTGCAAGATTATATTAAATGATCAGCTGGTAATCTTTGATCCCACCGATTTTACTTAAGAACAACTGAAGCTAATGGTGAATTATGCAGGTCTATCGTACGCGGCCGAAAGCTGTCAGCTCAAAGCCCATATTTAATGCCGGCACGGAACGATTTGTTCGAGACTGGCGTTCAGCCATCGTTACCGTGACTGTTAGGGACCAGCGCTACCGAGAGCATGATCCAATTCTGGGAGTGGTACCCCTAAAGCTATCAGAAATCCTCCAAACGAGCTCGCAGGTTACCCGATGGTACCCTCTAGATGGCGGCATTGGATATGGACGAATTCGCATCTCACTACTCTTACGACATGTTGAAACTCGGCTGCCTCCAAACATGCTTGGATGGGATGTCGGTACGTTTGAGTTCGCCTCGGATAAGATCATCGCGAGGAACTTCAGCCATCGAGCCAAGATCAAGCTACGGACGGGTGGCAGTAGCGGCAAGATCCCACGATACGTGGCTTCAATCGAAGGGCAGGACACTTCTTTCAACTTGACTAACGGATCTCTCCACAAGAGTATCCGACTGCCCGTAAAGCACCGCTACAGATCTCCCGTTGTATTTGAGTTCTACTCACCAGGAAAACATGGCGCTGCAGCCTACGCAATACTCTGGCTCCAGCACCTGGTAGACAACGAAGACACCCCTGTCGATCTACCCCTCTGGTCAACGAAGAACGGAAAACGACTCACCCAAAACTACATCACAGAAGAAAACTGGGAAGCCAAACGTGAGCCAGGACTAGAAGACCTCCAGATCATCGGTCGACTCCAGTTCACATGCCGCTTCACTCCCGGCATCGACGATTCCCATGAACACTACGTCGTGGACAACCACTCCCGTGAGACCTACGAAACATGGGAAGCGTGCATCGCCGAAGGCGTACGGCCCCGAAGCATCTCCCTCGAAGTCCCAGAAGAAACGGAACAATTACATGAAAGATCACTAGTCGACGGTCGCGATGTCCTGAAGCACGCCGACCCCAAAGAACGCCGCCAATGGATCGACAAACAAGGACAAGATTGGAGTGGCGCATTCGGCAACGACCCCAGCGCATTTATGAATCACGACGGACACAAGGTCGCCGAACCCGGCCGTGACAAGCCACCGTACTCTGCTGATGGCCATTCCGTGGAGGCTGTACACCCCGAAGGAGAAGAAGACGACGATGACGACGA